TCAACCCTAGCGTTTTTTCACTCATCTCGGTCTTCGGGGCCGCTTTCGGGCCCCAGGATCATCAACAGTGGATCCAGGTTGGAATGATGTTGTCGTTACTGAAAAGGTCCCACGGCCAGAGTTTTTGGGCCGCGGAATGGAAACACATATCCTCGGATGTCCTGATTTTGTTTCAAAATTCAGACGTACTCCGATCGGATCGATCCGATTCGATATTGATTCCAGCTGGCCCGATCCGATTCGATTCCAATGTTCCGTCGATCGGATGCGGCACAATTCTTGCATGGTGCCGTGGTGCATCCTGGCGCGGCTGGTCCGATTCGATTCTGATTCGACTCACATCCCTGATCGATGCGGCTTCTCGATCCCCGATGCTGACCGATCCACGTGCTCCTGCACACACGTTCAATAACTTCACGCTCTGAAAGTGCTCCCCCCACTTTCCGCGCTCGTCTTCTCCCCATCGCCAGATGTGCCCAATTCGACCCCGTCGCATCCCGCGGCTGCCCACGAATGCTGTGGGGACTCGCCGCTGCGTCATCAAATGCCAGCGTAGTCCCCAGCTGATTTCGCGAATCGACGTAAGATCTTTGTGTTTGGACCTTGGTCGGCTACCCGCTGGGGTGCGCTCGGAGTGAAGTGCCGTGTGCACGCGGGGTGCCCCTGGCAGCTGGCACTAGAAGGGCCTTCTGCTAAATGGGGCTTCTGCCCACCCCCGCAGGTCAAGCAGATCGTGGGCGGCACGCTCCAGGAGGGAGGCCGGAATCACTGCTTGGGTGTAGGCTCGCGGATGTCCGCGCGGACTGCCCTGGTCGGCGTGCGATCCCCCTCTCCACATCCCTGGCGGCGCATCCGCTGTTTCTTCCGGGGCGGTCCGCGCGCCCGGGAATGGGCGCGTGCTGTGCTCTCGATAGCTCCACGGTTTGCCCTCTGTGCCCCAAGGGCGTCCGCGGCGGATCCTCGGCGGAGTCCAGAGCCAAAAACGGAGGTGCGGGGTCCAGCGCCGACCCGAGGAGTCCGCGCGGACCTGCGAGCGCCGATGATGGCCATGCGCCCTCGTGCGTCTCCCAGGAGACGCCTGGGGCCCTGAAGACCAACTTCACCGCCTCGCAGCCGTCCAGCTATTTTGCGGGCCAGTACCGCGAGGACGGGCTCCAGGGCGGCCACGCCATCATGCTGGGCGCGTCGCCCGAGAACCTGGCGGCGGCCAAGGAGGCTCTGGCGGCCTTCCCGCAGGTTGGGGGCAGCGTTTTGGGGAGGGGTCGGCTCAGGGGAGAACGCATGGACCCCAATCGTCTACTCATCGCTGAGATGGGCCACATAGAGCCCACACCGCCCAGGAAAATCGCCGATTACAGGTCGATGTCGATGCCCCAGCCCTGAGCCAGTCCCCCCGGTGTCGCTTCCCTTTGCAGGGGCTCCAAGTGGGCGGCGGCGTCAACGCGGACAACGCGCGCGAGTGGCTGGAAGCCGGGGCGAGCCACGTCATCGTCACCTCTTACGTCTCGGGCGGTGGTGATGGGGGATGACCTAACGAGGGGTGAAGAAAAGGGCTCTAAAGGGGCACTTCAGGGCCCCTTCAAGGCCCCTGCTGGCTCCAAAAGGGGCCCTAAAGTGCCCTTTCAGGGCCCTGCTCCTTCCCCACCCGATGTAGGTCACCCCCCCAAAAATTTCCACCTGCCCGAACGTCTTCCACGGCGGCATGGTCGACCGCGAGCGGCTGTCGGCGCTCGTGGAGGCCGTCGGGCGGCAGCGGCTCGTGCTGGACCTGAGCTGCCGCCGCGCGGCTGCCGGCGACGCCGGCAGCGACCCAGTCTACAAGGCCTCCAGCGGAGGGCAAGGGAGGAAGCCGGGGAGGAAGAGGAGGAGGAGGAGGAGGAGGAGGAGGAGGACTACATGGGCGAAATGCAAAGCGACAGGGGAGTCGCGCAAAGGGCCTCAGTCAGAGGAGCTGGAGGGGGAGAGGGGCGGAGGGGGGGCCCGCCTGGCTGCCGTACCCGATGCACACGGGGCCGCAGACGCCGAGGCCGCGGGGCGCGGGGCGCGGGGGCCCCCCTCTCCTTCCATCCGACTGCAGAGGCCTCGCACCATTACCCCTCCCTGCAGAGGCTCTCTCAACTCCCTCATGTGGGGGCCTGGGCTCCTGGGAGGGCTGAGAACGAGCCAGGGCACGATCACGGCGTTTCCCGAACAGCCTTCAAGGGCCCCATGTGGGAAGGATGCAGGCCCTTGGCCACACGGGCAAGGACCTCTCTCCCCTTGGGGGTGGGCTCACCACAGTGCTTCAGAAGATTCACCAAGGTAAAAGTGGCATGGCACACGCACGTCGTACAAAACAGCACACGCCACCGTGAGATCTCACAGAACTTGTGGCCGTCTGGCCACGAAGCTGTCTCCCCCCCGCCACTACCACCACCGCCTCCCCGAAGCGAAGGGGCTCCCTCGGACGAGGGGACACAGGACGCAGTGGCATCCAACCTGCAATCGTCCACGAGGAGAGCACAGATGCCGCACCTCCACTTGTTAGCACATTTCGCAAAACGGAGAGTGGAGGCCTGGAGGCAAAGGGAACGGGTGGATGGCATGGCCATCCTCTGAGCACCGTCCCTCTCTCTTCGCAAAACCTTGCCAGCGCCAATGCAACGAATTATGGCCCTCGCTCGAGCACGGACGTGAGCAGCACTGGAGTGTCACATATCCGTCAATGGGACGGGTTCGCTGGCAGACCTTCCAATTCTTGGCAGATCCTCTGCCAGCCCAAGCATCAGCGACAATGTTGCCACAAGCAAGAAAAGGGTCGGCACTCTGGCGTGGCGACTCATCCTGGTGCGACGGGGTCCAGAGCGAGGTCACATCACGTCCAGGTTCATGCTCCAAGGCCCTGCGAAGACGCGCCCAGAGATCCCAGATCTTGAGCCGCCGAGTCCAAGCTCCAACGGGCCTCCGAGTCCACCCTTGCCCAAAGCCGTTCAAACGGGGCTTGTGGTCGGTGACAATCGTCAGAGGCCCCGAGCTCTCTTCGACCGAAACGCAAAATGCCAACAACTCGGAGCGCGGCACAGTCTGCCGCCTGCCCTCCAAGGAGCCAAAAAGGCCAGAGTGGCCTGTCCAAAGGCCGTTGCCATCGGGGATACCTGCCGCCACGGGCCATGCGCACCTACGCCTCCTGGGGTCATCCGAGAAGGCTCCCCGCCCCAAAAAAGAAAAAGGCGACCATTGACGAGGTCTCGACAGTCTTCCCACGAGGGGCTTCCCGAGCCAGGATGAGGAGGAGGAGGAGGAGGAGAGGAAAGGGAGGGGAAGAGGAGGAAGAAGAGGAGGAGGAGGAGGAGGAGGAGGGGAGGCGGAGGAGGAGGGGAGGAGGAGCTTGAGGAGGAGGTGGTGGAGGAGGAGGAGGAGGAGGAGGAGAAGGAGGAGGGTAGGGAGGAGGAGGAGGAGCAGTAGGAGGAGAAAGAGGAGGAGTAGAAGGAGGAGGGGAAAGAGGATGATGAGGTGGCGGAGGAGGAGGAGGAGGAGGAGAAGGTGTATGAGCTGGAGGAGGAGGAGGAGGGTCGCGGGAAAAACGCTATAAACATAAATGTTCGGAGCTCCGCGCAGAGCGCCAGAAGTTTATGTGTTTATGCCGTCTCGTTCGTCTTCTCGGGGGGGGGGGGACGATTCACGTGGGGGGTTCGAGGATTGACGGAAAGGGGCCGCTGGTCCTTCAATTGCCACCGCGGGCTCACAGGGGGCACGGAAGGCGCACGTTTCTTCACCCCACGTGCATTGCCCCGCGTTGACGAACGCCCGAAGGTCGTCACCGATCGGTGGCAGAAGTGGACGGACGTTGAGGTTCGCCCCGAGACTCTCGCCGAGCTCGCCAGCTTCTGCGACGAGTTCCTCGTGCACGGCGTGGACGTGGAGGGCCTGCAGGCGGGCATCGAGGACCCCCTGGTCAGCATACTGGCCTCCTCTCCGATCCCCGTGACCTACGCGGGGGGCGTGAGATCGATCGAGGACCTGGAGCGCATCAGGCGTCAATGGCCCGATCTCCCGCGGCCGCTGCGATACGGTAGGAGGCGGGCGCGGTTCCAGATTTTCGACGGCCTCAGCGCGCGCCCTCTGGAGGCCTGGAAGCCCGTCTGCCTCCTGCCTGTAGCAGCGGTCGTGGAAGGAAGAGGACCCGCTGCCAGAGTTGATCCTGGCCCAGGGTGCCCCCCAATCCGTGTCGCGCCGTTTCGCAGCCCGTGGTCTTAAGGCTTCTAAGAAGCATTCCCCCCTCCCCCTCCCCTCTCCTGCGCGCCGCCAACTTTTCACCTCCTGTGGCCCAGGAGCTGAGGATCGGCCTCGCCCACTTCTGCCCCCTGCTGCTCTCCTGTCCTCTGGCCGCTCCCGGACCTTCGGCGCCGCGCTGTCTCTCCATCGGGCGGGTGGTCACGGGGGGGTGGCCCAGATGTGAAGGGGCCGTGAAGGGGGGCTCGGGGGCCCCCTTTGGAGCCAGCAGGGCCCAAAAAGGAGCCCCAAAGGGTGCTGGAGGCCACCTGGGCCGGGACCGCCTCTCGCAGCCACCCTTGGCCGAGAGGCAGCTGGGCGGCGGGCGCGTGGACGCGACCATCGGCAGCGCCCTGGACCTCTTCGGGGGCGCGCTGCCGTACGCGGACGTGCTGGCCATGGGAGAAGAAACCAGGGGTACCGATAGGCGGGGGCAAATCGAGGCTCGAGGTTTTCGGACGTTCTCGTCGGTTCTCGGCGGTGTTCCAGCTCTGGCATGCCTTCCAACGGCTGCGCCTCGCCGATGGCGTTCTTGGGATGCCCAGATCGTCCTGACCGGCCGCCGGAGATCCGAGTTATGACCAGAAAGCCAGAGGGCAAGGATAGGGGGGGATAGGCATAGGGGGGATGCATCGACCCCCAATCGCCCTCTGATCGCCGATGGGGACCTGGTAGCCCGAACCTACCCAGGAACATGCGGATTCGCGCAACAGACGCAGAGGCACACGCACGCTCCCAGGAGAGCGGGAATGTGGCCAGGCAGTCGTTGGTATAATTCTAGACTCTACATGCGGGTTTTACATCTCTGCACCATAGACATCTCGTACCCTCTCGCTTCATCGTCTGGCAACGACGCAACCGCATGTTTCCGCATGTGCGGAAGCATGCGCACCCAGGAAGGAGGAATTGTGGCAAAGAAATCATTTGTAACACTCTAGCAAATACATGAGGAGTTCCACATGTTGGTTGTCTGCATCATCAACCATGTTTGTCCCCGCGCCTCATCGCTTGGTAATGGCAAAAAGCAGTCTGCGTTCGCAATTCCGGAAGCATACGTACCCAGGAGGGCGGAGTTGCTGCCAAGGAATCGATGGTAGAGTTCGATCCGACGCATGAGGGTTTTCATGCGCAGTTTGGCCTCACAGACAATGTATGTCCTCGCGCCCCGTCGTCTGGCAATCGTAAAACCAAATTTGTTCGCATTCGCGGTTGCATGCGTGCCCAGGAAAGCGGACATGTGGACAAGTAATCGATGGTACCATTCTAGCCAATACATGTGGATTTCAAAATGTGTTTGTTTATCATAAACCAGATTTGTCATCTCGACTTCTCTTTCGGCAATCGTAAACAATCGCGGAATCATGCGTGCCCAGGATGGAGGACATGCGACCAAGCAATGGATGATAACACTCGAACCGCTACATGCGGATGTAATGTGACTGTGTTTGGCCTCACAGACCATGTGTGCCTTCGCGCCTCATCGCTCGGCAATTGCAAAACCGCAAGGGTTCGCATTCGCGGAAGCATGCGTGCCCAGGAAAGCAGACATGTGGCCGACAAATCGTTTGTAACCCTCCAGACAATGCGTGTGAATGTTTAATCGTGGGTTTTTGTTGCGTCATAGGCTGCGTTTATTTTCGCGCCCCATCGTCGGGCAACAGCAAAGCGCATATTTGGGCAATTGCGGAATCATGCGTACTTTGGAGGGCGGACGTGTGTCCCAGAAGTCGGTGGTTCAATTCCAACCATTGCATGCGGACTTCGATTTGTATCGTTCGCCCTCGCAAGCAGTCTTTGTTCTCATCCTGTGGCAGTAGCGATACTTGTTGTTTTCGCATTCGCGGCAGCATGCGTAAGCAGGAGGACGGACATGCGGTCAGCAAGTCGTTGGTTAAATTCCAGCAACATTCCGGCAAGAGGCTCTCAGGCGCTCAGGAACCGCCGCTTAACCGCTCAGGCGTTCAGGAGCCTCCGCAAATCGCTCGCGCGCTCAGTAGCCTCTGCAAGGTTGTTCAGGCGCTCGTGAGCCACTGCGGAGCGCTCAGGCGCCCCGATGTCTCTGCAAAGCGCCCAGGCGTTCAGATGCTTCTGCAAAGTGCCCAGGCGCTCAGATGCTTCTGCGAGGCGCTCCGGCGCTCAGATGCCTCTACGACGCGCCCGGGCTTTCTGAAGCCATTGCAGGGCGCTTTGGCGGTCTCTTCCGCAGAGCGCCCAGGCGCTCAAAAGCTTTTTCACGGCGCCATGGCGTTCAGAAGCTTCGATGGAAACTCGGGCGCTCAGAAGCTTCTGCAAAGCCCCCAGGCGCTCGGAAGCCCGTGCAGAACGTTCAGTCGCTCAGAAACCTGCGCAGAGCGCTCAGGCGCTCAGAAGCTTCTGCAATGCTCAGAAGCCTCTGCAGAGCGCGCAGGCGCCCAGAAGTCTTCCTCAGAACGCCCTTTGTCCCAGATGCTTCCGCAGAGCGCTCCGGCGCTCAGGCGATTTTGCAAATCGCCCCGGCGCTCAGAAGCCACTGCGGGGCGCTCAATCGGGCGCAATTTTCTAGAGAGCGTCCAGGCGAATAACAGTTTCTGCAGAACGCTCGGGCGCTCGCAAGCCTCTGCAGAGCGCTCAGGCGCTCGGGAACTGTTGCAAAGAGCTCGGGCGATCAGAAGCCTCTGCAGAACGCACAGGCGCTCAGAAGCTTCTGCAGATCGCTCAGGCGTTCAGAAGCCTCTGCGCAGCGCCCAGGCGTTCAGAGGTTGTTGCAGCACGCTTAGGCGCTCAGAAGTTTCCGCAAAGCGCCCAGGCGCTCAGAAGCCACTGAAGGGCGCTCAGGCGGTCACAATCCTTTGCAGAATGCCTGGGCGCTCAGAAGCTTCTGCAGAACGCTCGGGCGCTCAGATGCCTCTGCAGAGAGCGCAGACGCGCAGAAGCCTCATAGGCGCTCAGACGCCTCTGCAGGACACTCGGGCGCTCAGAAGCTTCTGCAGAGCCCCCGGGCGCTCAGAAGCGTCTGCGCAGCGCCCGGGCGCTCAGGAACTTCTGCAGAATGCTCAGGCGCTCAGATGTTTCTGCAGAGCGCTCAGGCGCACAGGGGCCTCTGCAGAGCGCCCAGGCGCTCAGAAGCTCCTGCGGGGCGCCCAGGCGCACAGGAGCTCCTGCGAAGCGCTCAGGCGCTCAGGAGCCTCTGCGTAGCGCCCAGGCGCTCAGATGCCGCTCGGGCGCTCAGAATCCTTCGCGGAGCTCCGCGCCCAGCTGCCTCTGCAGAGCGCTCCGGCGCTGAGGCGCTTTTGCAAGGCGCCTGGGCGCCCAGAAGCCATTGCAGGGCGTTCAGGCGGTCGCAGTCCTCTGCGGATCGCTCAGGCGCTCGGAAGCTTCTGCTGAAAGCTCAGGCCTCATGATGCACAGCGCTCAGGCGCTCAGAAGCCTCTGCAGAACGCTCAGGCGCTCAGAAGCATCTGCAGAACGCCCAGGCGCTCAGAAGCTTCTGCACAGCGCTCAGGCGCTTAGAAGCCTCTGCAGAACGCTCAGGCGCTCAGAAGCATCTGCAGAGCGCTCAGAAACCTCTGCAGAGCGCTCAGGCGCCCGGAGCTTCTGCAAATCTCTCAGGCGCTGAGAATCCTTTGCGGAGCGCTCAGGGAGTCAGAAGCCTTTGCAGAGGTCTCCGGCGATCAGGCGCCTTCTGCAGAACGCCCAGGCTTTCAGCTGCCTCTGCGGATTGCTCGGGCGCTCAGAAGCCTGTGCGAAGCGCTGGGGCGCGCAGAAGCATCTGCGAAGCGCTCGGGCGCTCAGATGCCTGTGCAGAATGCCCAGGCGCTCAGAAGCATCCGCAGAACGCTCAGGCGCTCAGAAGCATCTGCAGAACGCCCAGGCGCTCAGAAGCTTCTGCACAGCGCTCAGGCGCTTAGAAGCCTCTGCAGAAAGCTCAGGCGCTCAGAAGCATCTGCAGAGCGCTCAGAAACCTCCGCAGAGCGCTCAGGCGCTCGGAAGCTTCTGCAAATCGCTCAGGCGCTCAGAATCCTTTGCGGAGAGCTCGGGCGGTCAGAAGCCTTTGCAGAGGTCTCCGGCGCTGAGGCGCATTTTGCATAACGCCCAGGCTTTCAGCAGCCTCTGCAGAGTGCTCAGGCGTTCAGGAGCTTGTGCACAGCGCTGAGGCGCGCAGAAGCATTTGCAAAGCGCTCAGGCGCTCAGGTGCCTCTGCAGAATGTCCAGGCGCTCAGAAGATTCAGACGCCTCTGCAGAGCGCGCGCGTGCTTCTGAAGCCTGGTTTTGGAGTGGCCGTTCTGGTTGCAAAGAACCCCGTCTGGGTTGTAAAATGGTCGTGATGATTGCAAAGTGGGTTGTTCTGATTGCAAAGTGGTTGTTTTTCAATTGAAAACCGTGTGGTTCGATCCTTTGCTGGTTATAAAATGACCTATCTCGGTTGTAAAGTGTCGTTCTGGTCGTAAAGAGCCCGAATCTCGGGGGCCCTGCGCCGACCTAGGGCGACCCGCTCGGACCCACCCGAGCCCCGACCGAGCCCCGAACCCTGAGTTTTTCGGTTGCGATCGGTCGCGATCGATCGGCGCTCCAGATCGGTCGCAACGCAAAAATCGCGACCGATCCTGACAAGCAACGGTCGCGACCGGCACTGGAGTCTGAATCATGTCTGCAGCGACCGGCCCAGTCGGCCACGACCAGACAGCTCTGGCATTCAGTGATCCCCGGGAGCCTCTGCCCGCTGTCGCCCCCGCCCTGCCCCCCTCCCCTTGGCATCGCTCGGGCGTGTGAATTTTGTTTTGGCGAGGACCATCGAGGAGCATCCTGGATCACTTGGCAAACAAGCGCGTACGAAATCGAAAAATGCACGGGGACCCGGACATTTTGCTGCTCCATTTTTTTTGATGTGTGGGCCCTTAAGGTCCAGACCACTTCCCCATGGTTGGTTTTTCGTCCTGAATCGTTTTTTGACCCAAGGCCTGGCCGGTGAGGGCCCCCTGAGGCCGAAAACGGCCAAACACCGCCTGCTCCAATTGTTGTTCGGGCGTCGGATCTCTTGGGAACGGACGTCCGAACGATGACGAATCCAGGCCTGGCACCGCGCGCAGCAGCCGCAGGAGGCCTCTGCCGCCGCCTCGGGCTGAGCGCGCGCGCGCCGCGCGCTGGCGCGGGCGCTGGCGCGGGCGCGCGCGAGGGCCGGGCGCGCCGCGCGGCAGCCGTCGCGCGGTGGAGCCGCGCGGCGCGGCCGCGCTGCACGCTCGGGTGGCCAGGGGAAGAGCGCGCCAGGACTGCTCCGCCGCCGCCTCCCGCTCGGCTATTCGCCGGCCCCTCCTGGCCCCCTCTCGAAGAAGAGAAGAAGAGAAAACGCCATAAACATAAGCTGTTGGCGCTCCGCGCGGATTTCTTGGATGTGCGGGCCCCTTCCTGGCGCGCGGAGCGCTGCGATTCGCGCCGACGCCGTCTGAGAAAGGCCCAAGGTATGGCCAGTTCCCAGACGATGCTGGCGCGATATCGCGAATCAAAGATAGCGGGCTTTCGGACGTGCGCGTTGATCTCGGCGAGGCAAGCGCAAGAAAATTTGGACCATCTTGGAGCATCTTGAGAAACAAACGCACGCGCGCAACCAAGCAATGCATGGGGAGTGAACGTCCGAGCGATGACAAGCGCTGTCCTTCTGCCGCCACCCTTCGCCATGAGGCGAACGGGTCCGAAGGGCACCAGGTTCCGATTTGGTTCCCTGGTTTCGGCCTCCATGGGACGTCCGTGGACCCCAGGACCAGCAACAGAAACGACTAATGATGAATACCTGGTCCCAGGAGAAAGCAGGACGAGGGACGAGGAGGGAATAGCACTCGACGACGTGGATGATCAGGATAGACTGAAGTGTATTGTGCCGTTGCAGATCGGATTGGACGGTGTTGCTTGTAGAGAGAATTGAGTGTTGGTGATTTGGGCGGAGGACGGGTAGGATGACTAGGAGGAGTCTTTCACGCTTCGCGTGTCCACACCAGCACGTTCAGTAAGTAACGTTGCCCAGAGAGCTGACGGGAAAAGAGACGAAAACACACATCTAGTGAAACAAAGCGGGCAACCAGGATGAACAGAGAGATCTCTGGGAGCACGGGGGTGGCATTGGAGGTCCTACTCGGGCCATCCCTGGAGCCCGCGGGGGGTCGAGGGGAGGAGGAGGAGGAGGAGGAGGAGGAGGAGGAGGAGGAGGAGGAGGAGGAAGATGCAAGCCGCCTCTTGGGGCCCTCGTGGGACGCTTTTTGGGCGCTCTTCAGGCTGTCTTTCGGCCCTTGCGACCCTGTTGGCGCTCTCTAGGGGCCCTCTTGGGAGTCCTGGAGGGCCTCTTGAGGCCATCTTGGAAGCCATCAATGAAGGGGGGGTGGGCCCCCGATTTCGAACCACCCTAGAGCCATCGAAATCGCCTCTTGGGGCCCTGTTGGCTCGCTCTTGGGCGCTCTTGGGGCCGTCTTGGGGCCCTCTTGGGACTCTCTTGGGGCCATCTTGAGGCCTCAAAAGCGCATCGGAAGCGACAAGGCGAGACGGCACAACCCATCGACATTGCTTAGGTTGTTGATGAATCGACCTCTTGGGGGGGGTCCTCAGGGGGCTCCGAGAGCACTTGGAACCGTCGTGTGGCCCTCATCTGGCCTCTTGGAGGTGGGGGGCTATTGTTAGACCCCCAGTGCTCCAAGATGGCCTCCAAGGTAACTCAAGATTGCCAACGGTCTTGGAAAATAGCTTCCACATGACGGTTCACGTGTGGCCCTCATCTGGCCTCACGTGAACCGTCATGTGGAAGTTGTTTTCAACCACCGTCGGCAATATTGACTTACCTTTGAGGCCATCTTGGAGCACTGGGGGTCATGCTGGAGCCACCTTCGGCGAAACAAAAATCAACCTCAGGGAGGGGAGGGGAGTGTGTCAACCGTCCAGCCTTTCACCATTTTGCTGTCTCACCTTTCGCTTCGTCCTTCTCGCCTTGTCTCTCCTGGTCCCTCATCCATCCCTGCTTCTCCGCTGCCGTTTAGGGCACTTGAGCCAGGGCTCCCGGGGACAGGAGGTAAACAACATGCCTCCCAGCGGTTTCGATCCGATCCGAAGCGATCCTCGTTTGACATAGAGGTATTTTTGGATTCCTCCTCGCAGTCCCGCCTCTGCTGGCCTAGTAGAGCGCCACAGCGGAGTTCTGAAAATGGTATTCCACAAGCTCGCCTAAAGCTTCAACGCCGAATTGAGCAGTGGCACGCTTACGCCGGCGGACGTCATGCTCCAGGCCACCGTTGCCAAAAACAGCCTTGTTCGTAGGTGTGGCTTTTCCGCGCAGTTTCTTGCTCTCGGCGACAAGCACTTATTCGACCAACTCGATGAGTGTGAACCGCCACGGCTACAGGCGCTCAGACCAGACGTCGCTACCCATGCCCAGGCCAGGCTGTCTCTCCGTCGCGCTGCTCAGGCAGCCGCCGTGCTGATCCAGACGTGTTCCGAACTTCGTGATCTCTGCAACTCCCGTCGCGCGGGCACAACCGGTCCTCTCGACGTGGGGACAGAGGATGATTACATCGCAAATGACACCCCGTAGGCAAAAACAGCGGGAACCGCCTGGAAAGGACCAGCCGTAACGTTCGGCATGGAGGCACCGGGCACGACCGAAGGAACACAGAGGGCTATTGGAGCTGCGCGTGCAAGCCAGACCACAACTACAACCACCAGGGCCGCAGCAACCACTTGGAACAAAGCAGGAAAGCAATGCGCCGACGGCGCCGCGCGTGAAGGAAGAGCCGCAGGACGACGATTCTGCGACACCCCCGCCACAGGCCCCACCTCCGTACCTCCCTCCTGCTGCCGCGGCTCGTCCAGCCCCTGCTGGTGTTCCAGGACCTGCGACCTTGGGCTTCCCGGCCGCGGGAAATTGGGTTCCAGCGTCTACGGGCGCGCTGTCGCCACCTCCCTCCGCGCCTCCGGCGTTTCCACAGCAGCCTTCGCAGTCCTCTGGCGCCGCTTCCGTGCGGCCACCGGCACAAGCTGCTTACGAACGTCTGCATCGACACAGGACCAAATTTGCCCCAGGAGCAGGAGGAACAGGCAAAGGGAAAGGAGGAGAAGGAGGACCAGGAAACGGAAACGGCGCAGGAGGAACAAGGAATTTCGTCCTCATCAGCAGCCAGGCATGCAGGAACCAAGCGTGAGGCGTCCCAAGACGTCACCGACGACCAGCCCGCGCACAGATCGCCTATGTTTCCACAGTCGGACGACGAAATGTTAGTTTTCACCCAGCATGACTTAAACGATTCGTTT